TGCCTTGTGACTCACTACATTATTCCTTATGGGAAAATTTTGTTTGGCACTCATCATTTTTGGTACTCATTGTGCCTCCTGGAACCAATTAATTACTGAAGTACCACTGCATAAAATAAATAAGAAACTATTTCATATTTCAGTATTGGAATTTTGAATCCACATGAGCAACTGTACACTTCCAAATTGTGCAGTACAGTAATGTTGAAGCAAAGTGATTATATTAGAAATTCAGGAGGAAGCATAGGCACACATTTTCATTTAATAGGAGATAAAGTGGTTGATGCCATTTCCTTTTAGAGTTGTACAGGAGGGCATTCGCCCATGTAATTTCCTGCTGATCTTTCTGGAAGTAGAGAAGGATTCTAAGACCATACTTGGTTTTAGTAGTAAGTCCTCTCTGCTACTTAGGTTCTTCCAGTTAAGAAATAGATAGGACAAGAGTCCAGGCAAAGGGTTAATTCCATCTCCTAGCTGATTGGACTGAGTCTGTCAAAGCTGTTTAGCTCCACCTCTGTTGCTGGACCGCCTCCAGCTTTTGGCTCAGTCGTTCAGCCAGGACAGACGTTAATTTGCCTCTCTCTTCCTTAGCTGCATTGCAAAGGAAGACTTTTATTGGGGAAAATTTTTCTTTTTTTAAAAAAAAACGGCTCTACTTCACAGCTGATTAGCGGAGCTGTGAAACAGGTGTTTTGTCACTCCGGGGCTCCGATGTTGCCGGCAAAGGCTGCAGGGACCATTTTGGGGCTCCGCAGTGAAAGGAAGGCCACGTATTTAGCGGCCATCATAATTTGGCGGGAGGACTTGACCTGTTTCTCCAGGCCCTCCTACGCGCCATGCAGGCCAGTGCTGGGGCATTGGCCCCTCTACAGCAGCTGGATGGCGCGTTGTGCCGGTGGGGGAGTGTGCTCCTTAGCGCTGAAGTAGAATGGGCTCTACAGGCCTTGGGGCCACGCCCAATCCCAGTTTAGGCCCAAATTGCTTTGCAGCAGGCCCGGGTGGTGGCAATAGTGCCAGCAGGGCGTGGTAACATCCTGCTGAGGTAGCAGCGGCTGAAAAAGGAGTGGCCTGGACTATTGGGGGTTAGGATAATTGGATCCTCCCCCCCATCACCCCCCATTGAATTCTCGCGTGGGTGTGCATCGGACTGAAGCCTCTTTTTCAGTATGGCAGAAGCCCCTAGAGGAGGCAGGTCCTCTAGTGCAGGCACCCAGAGTTCCATGTCCTTGGCTCTTACTCATAAGAGCAAGCAAGGAAAGAAGGCCTTACCATCAAAGAAGGTCTCAAAAGAGGACAAAGATGCTTCCAGGAAAAGCTCTAGAAGCTCTAGGCGCTTGAGAAAGCTCTAGAAAAACAGATTGCAAAGAGCCAGAAGGTTCCAGTAGGAGGAGCAATAGATCATCTTCAAAGAGTAACTCAGCTGCTTCCCAACATAGTAAGGATCTTCCACAAGAGCAAGATCCTAGTCCTTCTACCAGGACAAGAGCTCAGGCCTGGTCCCCAGATGGGAATGAGGGTCCTGTTATGCAGCAATTACCTGCAGTGGGCAGGCATTATGGGGATCCCCAAGATTTGGCCTTTCGTTCAGAGCCTTGGCAACAGCAGACTGTCCGACTTAGGCCAGGAGTGGAAGCAATGTTCACTCCTACAGCAGCAGGACTTAGGGCCGCTGCTGTAGGAGAGAAAATTCCTGTTAATATGCAAGTCATTATAGACAGGGACATCCGGAAAGGCATAGTTGAAGGAATCCAGAGGTTTCAACATCATTCCTTGCAGTCTTCGGACATATCTGTGATCCCACCAAGAGAACAGGTGGGGCACTTGTTTGAAGGGGGTTCTCTAATCCAGGACCCTAGATCTCCTGATCCTTCAGTATATGCTTCTTCTTCCCTGGCGGGGGAGGGAGATAAAAGAGAGCCTGACCTTTCTGAGGATGAGGGTTTGGTCCCTGATTAGCCAGCCTTTACCGATCTGTTCCGTTGCTGTTTAAGGCCAGAAATACTGCCAATCTGGGTCCAGATGCTGATGACGGAGATCCCAGCAGAGATGCTCCTATGGAGTCTGATACTCTGTTTGATAAGCCAACTATTCGAGCGGAGGTTGTTCCATCTCCTAAGCTCTTCCTTAAGGTGGTACACAAACAGCTGGATACACCTGCTTCAGGTCCTTGTCTATCTGCTACTGATCGTAGATTTTTCAACATGGGTCTGGAACTTACCAAGAGCCTGCAAGTTCCAGTGGTCAATGGACCTGTGGCGGCCTTGGCGTCATCTGCACCTTCTGATCCTGAGGCGGTCCTCAAGTCTGAGGACAATAGGATTGAACAGTTGTTGCAGAGAGCACATCAAGCAGCTGCTTGGGGAGTGAAGGCATCCATGGCTGCTTCTTTTTTCACTAGAGCCTCACTAAGATGGCTATGACAGCTACAGGATAGGCTTCCAGTCTCAGATATTAGAGCTCACCAGGATATTAATAAGTTGGTTGCGGCTGCAGAATTTACTCCGGATGCCATTCTGCATGGAGCCAGATTTGCAACTAAGGCCATTGCTGCTTGGTTGGCAGCTAGACATATGTGCTGGCTTCGACATTGGCAGGCGGATGGCAGGAGAAAGTGGAAGTTGGCCTCAAATCCAGTTCTAGAGAATTGGTTGTTTGGAGATTCCTTGGATACTCTACTCGTGGAGTCCAGAGATAAAAGGAAGGTGTTACCGGCTCTCTACAAAAGGGCAGAGTCTTGCCTTGCCCCATACTTTAGACGACCATCTTTTCGGTTGGAGCCGGGTCCCAGTTTTCAACGGTTTCAAAGGCCTCCTTACCAGCGTTCTGATCAACCTCATGATCGAGCAGGCAAGGGCAGGCAACAATATTCAGGCAAACAGCCCTTTCCGTCCATTCTGTCGCCAACGCTAACGGCATCCCCAGCCCTCCCATAGGTGGCCGCTTGGCCAGTTTTGCTGATAGATGGGAGGAGATTACGTCAGACACCTGGGTATTAAATACAGCAAGGTTGGGCCTTTTCATGGAGTTCTGATCCATTCCTCCGAGGTTTTTCATTTCATGTCCTATTTCTAGAGACAAGGTAAGGAGCGGGCTCATGGAGTCTGCCATCCAGCATTTGCTGGATCTCTAGGCCATCCAGGGAGTTCCCATAGATCAACAAGGATGGGGATTTTATTTGAGAAGCCTCAGGGGGAATGGAGGGCAATTCTAAATTTGAAATGGCTCAATAGATACCTCATTTATCAGTGTTTTAAAATTTGACGGAGGCTTATCTCCATATTCCTATCTGCCATTCACATAGATGTTTCCTTCATTTTTGTTATGAAGGGTGCCATTTTTAATATAGGACCTTCCCATTTGGATTATCCTCTGACCCCAGGGTTTTCACTAAAGTGTTAGCTATCCTGGTAGTGCACCTTTGTACAATTCAATTGACTCAGAGATTCGGTCAGCCCTTGGTGAACCTGTTTGCCACACCAATCAATGTGCAGTTGCCACAATTTTTCACCAGGTTGTCACCCCAGGGGCGGAGGGGACCAATGCTCTCCGTAGAAAATGGCCTCCACACCTGTTATATACCTTTCCTCCTCTGCCACTGTTATTGGCAGTGGTACGGAAGATCCTGGCGGAGAGGACGGAGGTCATTCTCCTGGCTCCCTGTTGGCCCCAACGTCCTTGGTTCGCGGATCTGGTGAACTTATTGGTGGCTCTACCCTGGTGAATTCCTAAGAAAGAAAGATATCTCTCTCCTCCAGGGGATCCTGTACATCCAATCCCCAGTGGCTACAACTGACAGCTTGACGCTTGAGTAGAGCGCTTTAAAACGCGACAAGTTATCAAGCAAGGTAATATACGGACTATTCAGGCTCCCAGGAGACCTTCCACAATTCGCATCTATGACGTTGACATGGCAAGCTTTTTGCCTTTGGTGCTCTAAGTCAAAAATTAAGCCTATAGAGGCGTCGATAGTCTAGATTCTGGATTTCTTGCAGGTAGGGCTAGATAGGGGTCTTTCCTCTAATACGACATCAGGTGGTGGCCCTGTCATTGGTGTTGACATGTGGAAGGTTAGAATAGCTGGCACATCACCGACTATTCTCAGATTCCTCAGAGGTGCTTCTAACCTACAGCCACCAGTGGTTCACAGGTATCCCACTTGGGACCTGTCAAAAGTATTACTGTCCCTGACTAAAACACCATTCGAACCTCTCAGGTTGACAAGTTTATATCTTATGACTGTTAAGGTAGCCTTCTTGGTTGCTATCACATTGGCCAGAAGAGTATCAGAGCTGGCGGCTCTCTCAGTACATCCAGACCTGTGTATATTTCACCCACACAGGGTGGTTTTGAGATTGGACCCAGCCTTTATTCCGAAGGTCAACACATGGTTCCACGGAGCGCTAGAGTTGGTTCTTCCAGATTTCTACCCCAACTCGTCCCATGCCTTGGAGAAATCTTGGCATACTCTAGATCAGGGGTGTCCAACCTTGGCAACTTTAAGAGTTGTGGACTTCAACTCCCAGAATTCCTCAGCCAGCAAAGCTTAAAGTTGCCAAGGTTGGACACCCCTGCTCTAGATGTTCATAGGGCCTTGAAGATCTACATAAAAAGGACTTCTGACTTCTGCAAAATGGAACCCCTATTTGTTTCTTTTCAACCTGCCTCGTTGGGTTGTAAGGTAACTCCCTCTACAGTGAGCAGGTGGATCAAGTCATGTATTTCCAGGGTGTACATGAGTCGCTCCCAACTAGTACCAAGCGGGGTCACGGCCTATTCTACACGTAGCATGGCCACGATGGTTATGTGGGCTACACAAGTTTCAATTGAGGAGTTCTGCAAGGTAGCCACTGGACATCCCCATCTTCGTTTATCTGGAATTATTGCTTGGACGCTTTTGCATCGGTGGATGCAGCGTTTGGCAGACGGGTTCTGCAGAGAGTCCACACGGAGCATGGGGATCAGGACCAGACATGAGCCCTCCCGTGGACACTCCAGCTTTGGTATGTCCCTTTGCCTGGACTCTCGTAACCATACAAGGGAGAATCTTACCTGATACGCCTGTTCTCCTTGTAGGTCAGAGAATCCAGCCCCGCCTCAGTGGTCTGGTCCAGGGCATGGGGGAGGCTGATAATCTTGTTCTTGATTTTTCGTTTCAGGGGCATGTCCTGTCTGTCATGTTGTCTTGCCGAAAGCTGGGGGCGAAACAGCAACAGAGGCGGAGCTAAACAGCTTTGACAGACTCCGTCCAATCAGATAGGAGACAGAGTTAACCCTTTGCCTGGACTCTCTAACCTACAAGGAGAATAGATGCATCAGGTAAGACCAACGCCCTTTCTCACCCTGAATATGCCCTCCAAATGTGTGAGCTTAAACTCCTAGGATGTTCAGTAAAGCAATTTATTGAAAAAGATGTGACTGCCCATCTTAAAGCAGACAATTCCAAGTGGCTAAAAGAACAATAAAAACACAGATAAACCAACCACAAACAGAAAAGGGGTGTGTGTGTCACACACAGTATAACTAATCCCCAAGCTCCAACTTTACTCTCCTATTTTGGAAGGATACTGTGATCTGGGGATGGCTATATTTTAGCGTCACGTTATATCACTTGGTGTTACTTCCTCCTGCAAAGTGACATTTGTACAGCTTGGTCATCTTTGTTCCTTTAACATATTATCCCCTTTCTTACCTTGGATATGTCCTTCAAATGTGTGGGCTTAAACTTAAACATTAACACAGTAATTTGCTGAAAAATACCTATGTACAGGTACTCCTCGACTTACAACAGTTCATTTGGTGACCACTTGGAGTTACAAGATCACTGAAAAAAAATGACGTGTTTTTCACACTTATGACTGTTGCAACATCCCCATGGTCACATGATCAAATTTTGGATGCTTGACAACTGGTTGATATTTATGATGGTGGCAGCGTCCCAGGGTCATGTGATTCCCTTTGGCCACTTTCTGAGAAGCCAGATTCACTTAACAACGGCGCTCCTAATTTAACAACTGCAATGATTCACTTAACAACGGTGGCAGGAAAAGTCGTAAAATGGGGCAAAACTCAGTCAACAAATTTCTCACTAACATAAATTCTGGTCTCAATTGTGGTCATAAGTCGAGGACCACCTATATATGGTTCCCTTTCCTGTGGTACGTTTTCCCTTCCTTTTCTCAGTTTCCTGGGCTTCTGAGAAGGTTTCAGCATTACCAGGTAGACCATACAGGAACCATGGTCAGATAAGCTAATTCTGCTGAGGTGTATAAACTAGATTAACAACATCTTGCAAGCTTGAAACTGCAATTCTTCTGCTCTTACCCCAGTTTAATTACGGAGCCTCTTGCTCTGTCCATTATGCAGTAATGGGCTATACCTCTTATCTGAGTGTTCCTTAGGCAGCATCTCTTCCTCTGACTCCCAAGGTCATTCCCCCATACCATTACAGAAAATGACAAGCCCATTTTTTCCAGGGGCCTGAACTCTTCGCTTGAAACAATCTTGAGAATTGCAAGTTCTACAGCCTTGGTATGAGCCAGTATGCTTTCTCATGTAAATGTCTACGTAATCTTGAGATGAATCTCAAGGTTGGAAATTTGTACGTCTCTGATGCTTAGGAAGTGGTGCAAAAGAAGTGTGTTTTACGTGCAGGTACTTATAAGCAAATGTGCGCAGATGTTGCAGTTTCAGGATGGAGATGCTGCGCCCCAAGTGTAACCCAGAAAACTTGGACTGGTGCGATAGAGCACTGTTTTATCTTGGATAAAGATGATGAAGGCCAACAATCTAGGATGCTTCACCTAGTAGGACTAGGGGTGGCTAACCTTTTTGAGCTCCTGTGCCAAAAGTTGTGCGCGGGCTGGCACTTGCGCACTTGCACGCCATCACCTAGAAGGCAATGCGTGCCCCCCCACGCCCCATGCGCATGCAATCCCCTCATGCCTCTCGCGCCGGCCCCCCTTACCTGCCTACGCATCACAGCTGATTTTTGGCTGGTTTGAGGCCTATTTCAGCCTCCCAGAGGCTTGAAAAAAGTCTCTGCAGGTGACGAAATGGGCCTATTCGGCCTGCAGAGGCCAAAAAAGGCCTCAAACCAGCCGAAAATCAGCTGTGAGGCACATGCATGCACAGTGAGGTAAGTTTGCCTGCGGCTCGCGTGCCAGCATAAATGGCTCTGTGTGCCACAGGTTCCAGTGGTGGGATTCAATTTTTTTTAACGACCGGTTCTGTGGCCGTGGCTTGGTGAGCATGGCAGGGGAAGGATACTGTAAAATCCTCAGTCAGAGGTGTTATTTGCTGGTTCTCCTAACTACTCAATTTCCGCTACCGGTTCTCTAGAACTGGTCAGAACCTGCTGAATACCACCTCTGATAGGTTCGCCCTCACGGGGCTAGGCCTATGAACCAGGCTTAGGTTTGCGTAAGGCTCCGCTGCTGTTTTTCTGTGTTTAAGGGCATAATATCAGTTGCTAAAAGCAAGCCCTGAAGCTGAAAGTGGCTCATAGTAGCAGATAAAATGGTAAGAAAAAGTTCGTGACAGCTTGTGAGTGGTAGTGTAATATTCAAGATCAGGCAGATAGTCTTTCCCATAAACTGCAACCTGTTGATGTGCTTCCCATTATTTCCCACTGAGTTTCAGTGTATAATAGTAAGCAAAAAGCTGGACTTGAATGTGACAAACATATCCTATGCCATCCGTGGAGTCACTTGGGCAAACTATAGTGGATGTAATTTGGAAAATGAAACAAAGAAACCAAGTACCTAGGTATTTCAAACTAGAAACTATAGTATTGGACTATAATTTAACGCATGGATTGGTAGCACACCCCAAACTGGACTGAATTCAATGCAATAAATTTATTATAAAGTATGATTTAATTTGATAATTTACATTGTGTTAAGCATCATTTTTGGCATTCATTATTAGCTGAAATGTAACAGTTTTTAATATTTTGACATGAGTATATAATTTTGTGTGTTGTGCATCTGTGGAAAGTCTTCAGAAACAAGATTTTTAAGAAGTGATTGGATAACCATTTGATAACCATAAATTAATGGTATATTAGAAATCTATTATCTCCATGATGTTTTAAAATCCTTGGTTTATTCAGCTGTATTATATTCATTCTTTTATGGTTATATATTTTCTTTAATATTTTCAGTTAAAAAGGCAAATAAAATATTAAAATTTTGGTTGCTGAGTGAGAGATATAGGCTGAGAGCTTTGGTTTTTGAGGATATGGCAAATCTAATGCATCTGGTTAATTAAGCCGGTTTATACGATTCCATTTTGGGAAGGTGTTCTGACTAATGCTGCTGTAATTAAAAACAGAGAGGGAACTTTGGGCTTTCCAGCAACTGTTTTCTATTTAATTATTAGATTTAATCTGTTTAACAATAGGTTGTTAATATATTTCTGTATATAATATATAGTAAGATTTTATAATACTGACTCTTAAGTATAATCTATTGAGCAGAAGCAAACAAAAATATCTTAATAATGCCAAAAAAAGTCTATTCTCTTAATGCTTTCTTAAATGCAAGTTTAGATTTGTCTTGGGGTTTTGTGTTTTTTTCACAAATTAAAGATAAAAATAATATTTGAAAACAAATGAATCTTTGTAATAGCATGTTGAGCTGTGTAGTGTTCCAAATTAACCATAGTTCTTTAAGGTGTATTAAGGTGTATTTTTAAGCACACCTGAATCAGTAAACTTTGCTAAATTCAGTGGGGCGTGCTCGAATCATGCTATATTTGATATCTAGATGACTGGTTTGTCGACGCTTGCCATGGTGAACAGCGGTCATTTGTTACTTCTTTGAGAACTGCCAACTTACCAGGAGAAAAATCTTGTCTCACCTGTTTTTAGTATCTTGTAACAAGAGCTTGCTATGTAAAAAAAATAAATAGGTGAAAATGTTTGCCTCATAAAGACACAGTTGTCTGTCTATCTGCTAATATTTCTGGAATCAGATGAAGAGTTAGCAATCTCATCTGGACAGTATCTGTGTAACTAATGTAAGTGACTTGTGCTTTCATTATGTCATCCTGCCTGTTTTTAATATCAATTATTTTGACAGTGTTGGTCATTATTTAAGGTGTTTGACTAGAAGAAAAAAGACCCACATTCTAGTCCAGCTTCATCCATGGAAGAACACTGGATAATTTTGGACCTTTCACAGTTTTTCAGCTCAGCCTAGCTCCTAGGATTGTGTTATAGTAAAAAAATGAGAGAAGTTTGCCATCCTGATGTCCTACACAAAAGATAGGATACAAACCTAATAGTAAATAGAGTTGGAGAGCGAGTGAGTCTTCTTCTCACTACTACCTGTCTTTTTTTTTGGGGGGGGGAGGGGAAATGAGAAACATTGTGTTTTTAAATATCTATGGAGATTCTCAGTCATCCAGGTGCTTCTCATCCATTAAGCTTCTTGCTGAAGCTGAAGAGGCTTCTCGAATGAGAAGTGAAATGTCTTCAAAAAAAAAAACAAACCCCAAGAAAGGCCAGTTGCCTCTTGAAAAAGCACCTTTGGGACATAGTGTTTTTAATTTGATAAGAAATGGCCTTTCTCTTTTTTCCTTTCACTTGCACAAAAAGAAGTTGAATGAAGAGAAGAACAACAAGGCTCAGATGGAGATGAATTTCTGCCTACCTGCCTGCTTGCCTTGAAGAGCAAGGCTTTAGAGCAGGAGTCTCCAACCTTGGCAACTTTAAGACTTGTGGACTTCAACTCCCAGAATTCTATCCTCAGTCAGGAATTCTGGGAGTTGAAATCCACAAGTCTTAAAGTTGCCAAGTTTGGAGACGTCTGATCCAGAGCTAGTCCTTGACATATGACTGTCCGTTTAACAGTGAAGTTACGATGACCTCAGAAAAAAATGACTTACAACCTGTCCTTGAAGTTACAAGTGTCACACCACCACTATGGTGATTGCAATTTGGCAATCTTGTGCAATCACAATCTTGTGATTGCAATTTGGCACTTAGCAGCTGGCTTGCATTTATGATAGTTGGAGTCTCTTGTGGTCACATACTCATGATTTGCAACCTTCCCAGCCGACTTTCAACAAGCGAAGTCAATTGGGAAAGCCAGATTCACTTAATGACGCGATTCACTTAACAACTGAGATTCACTTCATGACCATACTTAACGGCCATGATAAAAATAGCCATAAAATCTGGTCCAGTCACGTGATGATTTGCTTAATGACGGCATCGCTTAGCAAGTGGAATTCTGGTCCCAATTGTGGTTGAACTTTGAAGACTACCTATAGCACCTTTAACTGTTTTTTTTTTTAAAGCACACATTTTGCACATGTCTTCTTGCCGTATATCTGCCATTGAACAGTAGCAAGGGCTACCTCTATTACCTTTGCTTTTTTTTTTTTTAAAAAAAAAAGGAAGCACAAATTTTGCAGCAAGTTTTCTTGCCATGTATTTGCAATGAAAATGGAAGCTTTCCCTGTTGGACTTCTGCTTTGTAGATATGAACAAATAATTTGATCCTAAGCATCCTTTCAGTCTGATGATGTGTATATAAGTCTATGCTGAGTAAAAAACTTGTTCAAATCTAAGCCAGTGAATATAAAGTGCAGGTTACCTTGCACTTATTTGTGAATCCTTGTTTTGTAGAGGGAGAAAACGTACAACATAAGGTTGTCAAATTGTTTGGAAAAATCCTAGCTTGATGTGTTTCTGCATCAAACAGGAGCCTCAGCTGCAGAAATGGGTAAATTTCTTCACAGCAGAGGAGATCTGGTAAAAAGTTGGCAAAAGCTCTCCTGTTCCTTAAAAATAGTATTATGAGAGAGGTATACGAAAAGTGCCTGAGGGGAGGTTAGAGTAGAAGAATGAGTACTGTAGGCCTCATGGTTGGCAAGTAGGCCTTCTTGCTTG